TAAAAGGGCCATCAGAGTTTTCTTGCGCAAGAGAGTGTCTACACTGGCACGGCTGCTTTTGCGCAAAAGCAAATCTTTTGCGCAAAGGCACATGCCAGTATAGACACTCTCTTGCGCAAATACTTTTAACGGAAAAACTCTTCTGTTAAAAGTATTTGCGCAAAATCATGCCAGTGTAGACGCAGCCTAGGTGTGATGCTAAGTGTTTTGTAGCATGAAGACATTATTTGCAGAAGCTTTTTGAAGCAGGGATCTGTCTACAAACTCTGAAGCCATGTGTTAATGGGCTTCTACTCTGAGTTAGTGACACATACAATGTGAAAGTTTCAAACCAGGAGAACTTTTATTTGTTTTTATATTTTATTTTTCAGTTGCATAGCTGAATGGATCCTAAACATTCATTTAAAATGCCCATAACTAACCACCTGATGTTTTACTTCCCTTTGTATTTTAGTGTTGTCAGTTGTCTGTGTGTCTCTGTTACTTAATTGTACTGTTCTGTGTGCAGTATCAATCCAATTTAGAGTCTCAGAGGGGTAGCCATAACAAAAACCAATGGGCCTGTTGTGCCCACGAAAGCTCATGAAACTATCTATCTACACACACACACACACACACACACACACACACACACACTCACACACACACACACACACACACACACACACACAGACCTAGTTCGAACTAGGGTGGCTAATGTAGGCATTCGAACTTGCAAATGAAGCCCAGGATTTAAATATCCTGGGCTTTATTTGCATGTTCCCAGGTGCCACCATATTTAAACGAGGAGTAACGGTAGTTCGAATTAGGAGCTTTAATTCGAACTACCTAGTCCATGCCGCGTGTAGCCATGGGCAGGTAGTTCGAACTACGGGGCATTTAAAAATGGCAGCACCCAGGAACATGCAAATAAAACCTGGGATATTTAAATCCCGGGCTTCATTTGCAAGTTCAAATGCCTACAATAGCCACCCTAGTTCGAACATTATTGTTTGTTCAGTGTGTTTAATCAAATTAAAAGTTGACATCCCAGAGAAACTGTCAAATAAGTCTCAGTGTCAGTAAATATTGTATTAATATTTGTGAGAGCATGACTATTTCTAGTTGACTGAGATTTGGTTAACATCTTAAAGCTGAGCTGTGTGGGGATAACACGCATGCAAGAGGGATATTTTGTGAACTGCAAATGTCTGTAACATGCTAATGCTTTGGCAGATGCTTCATTTTTTAGGAGCTGCTTTACTGGAGATTCTGAAGATTTTGTTGTCTATGGGAGAAGATTATTAAATTGGAGCTCTGGTGCATATTTTGTATGCTTTTACTTAATGGCTATGTCTTATTTAAATAGCTGTTTTCAATACGCCCCATTTTCAACTCAAGCTAGTAAGGATAATAAAATACATGAACTCCAAGGGTAGTGTTAATTTTCTTTTTATTTGATTTCATATTAAACAAACATCTTAACATTGTTCCTTGTTAATTATCGCTTGGTTTAATATTTTTTCTTCCATACATATGAGCTGTTTAAAAATCTATAGAGATATATATAAATTTTTTGCTTGTACTAGTGATGCATGTCCAAACAGGAACTCAGTATTAGTGCTGCACATAAGAAAATTCAACCCACACAATTAAAAAAAATATATTAAAAGGGAACACTGTTAGACACTCAAAGTTAGTGAACATATTTGACCTTCATTTCTGTGTTAAGTCCTATCTATAAAGTGAAGATAATACTCCCTCATCATCTCAAAGAAGTATCAAAAAAATGTTTCTGAAGGATTTAGGTACTATAGTGAGAATATGAAATTAACGAGGAAATTAATAATTCCGTCTTCAGAGCAGGGTTTGAACAGTGTGCAGACAATAAAGGTTGGAAGAAGAAACAGAATACCAAATAGTTGTTCATTATGTGAGTGCTATCTACTTTGTGCTTTGAATGGGGGAGGGGGGAGGAGGAAGGGCGGGAATGTCTGTGAGGAAAAAATGGGATGTGATCATTCTGACGTGGCGAATGCAATCCTCCCAAACTCATCAGTTTGGACAATTCCAGGAGGTCTCAGCTGGGAGGCTTGAGATCCAAGAATAAAAACCCCATCATAATTATATCCTTAAAGCAGGGCTGGGGAACTTTTTTTGAATTGGAGGCCACTGAGCTACAACAACAACAACAACAACAAAAAATTCAGTCGGGGCCACACATGTGAGAAGCCAAAAAAACCCTCCCAGAACCCTCACTATCCTGGTCCCCAAGTGAGAAAAAGGAAAAAACCCTCAGATGTGCCCCACAAACTGAGAGGCAGGAAGACGAGACACTCCTTTAACTCGTGCCAAGCTCCAGTCCCACAGGGGAAGGCAGGTGCTGCTGGCAGCACCATTCCACCTCCCAAACACCTACAGCAGGTGTTCTGGGGGCGAGCGTGGGCAAGGCCAGACTGGTGCTTTAGGAAGGCAGTGCCTTCCCCCGCCTACCACACCAGCTGCCCATGAGTTGGCTCCTCCCAGCAAGGCTGTCCTGAAGTCACTCCTATGCAGGAGCATGGAACTGGAATAAAGGATCTGATGGGCCACATGTGGCCCGCCAGCTATAGTTTGACCTCCTCTGGCATCTCTCTGATACCATATAATTTCTGCACGCGATGTGGTCCTCAGGCCAAAAGGTTTGCCAAGCCCTGCACTAAACCATCTCAGAATAGAAGTTACATCAAGGCTAGCAAACAGTGCACCTACCCTCCTCCAGGAGATGTGAGATTAGCATAGACTAGAGGATAGAAGAGCTCACTGTTACTCTAAGGCAGGGATGAGGAACCTAAGGCAAGGGGGCCAGATGCAGCCTCTGAAGTTTGGGGCTCCCCACTAGCATTGGGGAACCTGTGCTGGTGCTCCAGTCCCCTTAACATCCTTCCGTGGGGCTGGAGCACACAAAATCTACTAGCCTGGGCTCTTCTAGGCTCTGGTGTGGGAAGGGAATGTGAGGAGTCTTACTGCCTCTCAGTCAGGGCCATGTCCGTGATAGTTGGGGGTTTTTTTGGTTTCTCACTTGTGTGTGCCCCTTTTTCTATGGGTTGGGACCCCCACCCTAAAAAGGTTCCCCAGCCTAGCTCTAAAGCTGCCTGTACCACACAGCATTTAGCAACACGGCTCTATCTCTAAACGCGTGCTCTCAGCACTTTTGCCAACAAAATATTTCCACCCCATGAGCGAGGTTCACACTGTGGACAAGACAGCTTACACTGCCACTCACCCCCCAACTTTTACCTTGAGGAGAGGGAGGTTTAAGCACCTGTGAACAACAAAAGTTGTATCATTCAATCTGCAGCACAGACACAGCCTAATTTGCACATCCCGTCCCTCATGGGAGTTGCTGTCAGACTGCCATTTCAAGATTTGCTGGCGGGAAATGAGAGTGGAGTTCTTCAAGGGGGAGAGGCCAAGCAAAAACATTTCTCTGCCCCTCAGTTAGTACATACCAGAGTTGGGTTTTCCACCACATAGTTGATATCAGGTGCATTCTGCTGATCCTCTTGCGGGTCTACGTCAATCTGCATAGGCTCCACTGCGCCCTGCAACAGCAAATCCAGGCTCAAATACGGTTCATTCACATGACCACAGGAAACAGCTTGCTTAAAGACGGGCTCACAACCTAGCAGGCTCCACTGATACACACATGTAATGCAGAAATGAAAACACTGCTCTGGAAAAATCTCTTTAGGATCCTGCCCCCATGCAGTCCTGCTCCTCGGGACTGACGTCTCATCCAGAGTCAGAACTGCTCATGCCATTCACACACAACAGGTCTCCTCTTTCAGTAGCTTTTCAAGCAAGCAAATAGGAGCATGTGAATCTTCTGAACATGTTACAGCATCACAGGGACGCACGGCAATTCCAAAACACCCTGCTGCGCGGACAGAGTGCCAGTGGCAGCAGAGAGTCCCCCGCATCTGCCTCCTCCCAGGATTCTCCCCCCCCCCAGAGGGAAGCCAGCACATGCCTGCCCCAGGCCCGACTTCCCCCCCTCCCCCTGCGGTACAGGGAAATCCCGCACACGCCTGCCCCGGGGACAACCCCCCCTCGCGCGGCAGGACCAAATCCCCGTACGTGCCTGCCCCGGGGACAACCCCCCCTCGCGCGGCAGGACCAAATCCCCGTACGTGCCTGCCCCGGGGACAACCCCCCCTCGCGCGGCAGGACCAAACCCTTGCAGGTGCCTGTCCCAGGGCCAAAGCCCCCTCCCATGGCGCGGCCCGGCGCGGCCAACCCCCCCCCCCCACTCCGCTCCTGCAGCGCGACCAACCCGTGAGGGCGCCTGCTCCAGGACCAAACCCCCCTCCCATCCTGCAGCGTGGCCAAACCCCGGGGCCAACCCTCGCTCCCGCGGCGCAGGAAAACTCCTGCACTCAACTCACCCCTCTGGCACTCTCCTCCAGGGCCGACGCCCCCTCCCCCAGCAAGCAACAGAGCTGTGGGAGGGGAGCAGCCCACACACTTCCGGAACCCCCAGAAGTGACACACGCTTCAGACAGGACTTCCGTCCACCCCGCGGGAAGCCGGCACTACACTAGAGGTAGGTAGTGGGGCTTCTCGGGGGTGGGGGGAAAATGGAGGGTAGGGGTGCCCAAATGCCTTGCGATCAACCAGTTGATCGCACTCAACGGGTTGGTGACCACGGAATTAGAGTTCTTTGAAGGGGTTAACAAACATTCAGACAAGGGGGATCCAGTAGATATAGTTTACTTAGATTTTCAGAAAGCCTTTGACAAGGTCCCTCACCAAAGGCTCTTGTATAAATTACATTGCCATGGGATAAGAGGGAAGCTCCTTTTATGGACTGAGAACTGGTTACAAGACAGGAAACAAAGGGTAGGAATAAATAGTAAATTTTCAGAATGGAGAGGGGTGACTAGTGGTGTCCCCCAAGGATCAGTCAAATCCTGTTCAACTTATTCATAAATGATCCGGAGAAAGGGGTAAGCAGTGAGGTGGTAAAGTTTGCGGATGATACCAAACTGTTGAGGATAGTCAAGACAGAAGCAGACTGTGAGGGACTCCAAAAAGATCTCACCAAACTGAGTGATTGGGCAACAAAATGGCAAATGAAATTTAAGGTGGATAAGTGTAAAGTAATGCACATTGGGAAAAATAACCCCAACTATATGTACAATATGATGAGGGCTAATTTGGCTATGACAAATCAGGAAAGAGATCTTGGAGTTATCGTGGATAGTTCTCTGAAAACTTCCACACAGAGTGCAGCGGCGGTCAAAAAGGCAAATAGGATGCCAGGAATTATTAAGAAAGGGACAGAAAATAAGACACAATATCTTATGCCCCTGTATAGAACTATGGTATGCCCACATCTAGAATAATGTGTACAAATGTGGTCTCCTCACCTCAAAAAAGATATTTTGGCCTTGGAAAGGGTTCAGAAAAGGGCAACTAAAATAATTACGGGTTTGGAACAGGTCCCATATGAAGAGAGGTTAAAATGACTGGGAGTCTTCTTCACACAGCGTGTAGTCAACCTGTGGAACTCCTTGCCAGAGGAGGCTGTGAAGGCTAGGACTATAATAGAGTTTAAAGAGAAGCTAGATAATTTCATGGAGGTTAGGTCCATAAAAGGCTATTAGCCAGAGATAGAAATGGTGTCCCTGGCCTCTGTTTGTCAGAGGCTGGAGAGGGATGGCAGGAGCCAAATCACTTGATCATTGTCTTCCGTCCACCCTCTCTGGGGCACCTGGTGCTGGCCACTGCCAGCAGACAGGCTACTGGGCTAGATGGACCTTTGGTCTGACCCATTATGTTATGTTCTAAGTGCTGGGCTTAATAGCCTCCTGGCCAAACCAGTCAGGATCACCTGTCAGAAGCTCCAAGATCTACTGGTTGGTGACCACTGACCTATGGGGTCCACAGAAAACCTGGAACAGTAGCTCTGGGAGGTGTGAACTGCCCCACTCATCTCCATTAAGAATTAACATCTTTTTTATGTAGAGAAATGTACTGCTACATACTTATAATGCCCTGTGTGCATACTTATTCAGAAATAAGTGTGCCTTTTTCAAGTATAGCTTCTGATGCTTTCAAAGTGACAAAGATATACTGGAAATAGCATGCTTATTCTGGAGCAAGTATGTCCAGCTGAGGTTTTATGCTGAGGTAACTATACCGTGGTAGTGGTATACTTCTATACTTGTAAATTTCCCTGGCCTGGAAAACATCAAAGATGAGCAGGATGTATTGCAAGCAATGACCCTTCCTGATGCCATAAGTCAATAATACTTGGAAAATACCCACCAGATTGCCCTGGCCCCACCCAAACAAGAAAGAGCAGACCCTATAGTCATATTCAAGCCTCATCTAGGGCAGTGTTTGTCAACCAGTGATACGAGTACCTTTACGGTACTTGAGAGAAGTCCGGCAGATACATCAACACAACTGAAAGTTGGAGAAAACTGAATTTTTGTTTTAACTTTTACAGAGCTTTATTATTTTTGTACTTTTTACACCCAAAAATTTCATTGCCTGCCCAGCTACGATCAAGTTGTTTAAACAAATGCATTGCAATGGTAGAAAAAAGATTGTGTGTCTGAAAACTGTAGATAGTGGGGGTACTTTTTTTAAAAGGAGTACTTTATTCAAAAAGATTAAGAAACACTGATCTAGGGGACTCAAGCTCAAGGCGGCCAGAAAAAACAAACAGAACTCATAACAGTATTTTACATAAGAGCAACCTCACTGAGTCAGACCAAAGGTCCATCTAGCCCAGGGCTACTCAACTTTGGAAGCACCAGGAGCCACAATGATACTCACAGCACATGCTGACGGCCACAACTTAAGTGTGGTTGCACATACATGCAAGTGTGTGTGTGTGTGTACACACACACACAAATAGCTTTTCACTCTGACAACATGAATACAAAGATTAAGGCAAGACTACACAACACACAGACCTCACTTAAGTCAGTTCTGTTGATAAGAAAATACAATATTTACCCGATTTCCACCCATGAGACCGTACTTTTAATGACCAATGACAGTCCAGGAATGTAACTACTAAATCACATATCAACAGAAGATCATTTTATTGACTACTTTTTTGTTTTGGCTCCCATCCAGCAGCCACACGTTGAGCCCCGCGTAAACCTGAACTACACTGCAGGTCGCAAACAGACAGGCTGCAAGCCACATACAACCCAGGGGCCACGTGCTGAGTAGCCCTGATCTACCCTGTCTTCCCACAGTGGCTAATGTCAAGTGCCCCAGAGGGAATTAACAGAACAGAGAATCATCAAGTGACCCTTCCCCCGTCACTCATTCCCAGCTTCTGATCAACAAATATAAATGTGCACACAATCTACTGCAAACAAATTCTCATTTTAATCATCCACATGGGCAGAGCTTAGCGTATCACCATCTTTTCTTCCTACTAATCTTACATGACTACAAAATTATCCCATATTTTCATAGAATCTTCTCTTCCCCAGGAATCAAGGGTAGAAAGTAAAAGTTTTTGAAAGGAGTTAGGGAAGTTTCAGAATGACTATAAGTATACAAAGGGGTGTTTTCCCAGTTGCCTTAGTTTATTATTCTCTCACTGAAGAATGATTATTTACACCAGTGCTCAGGATAACGATAGTGCACAAATTCAGACGGGAAAAGCCTGGGTGCAGAACAAGAATAGTCCTCTTCCATCGCTCTGCATCACAACCCCCAATAAGATTCCCCCCACCCCTCCACCTCAGAGATGGGGGAAGTGCCTTCCTGGCTGTAACTTTGAATTAGGGTGGTTTTTTTTTAAAGCACATGATCAGGTGTTTCAGGGAGTCATAGGTTTTGTACAAACAGTGACTGTCACAAAGCAATTAAAACCCAATTCACTCTCTCTCACTCACTCCAAGCTTTTCTGACGCCACAAGTGCCCTCTCTCGTAAGGTACCTCGTAAAGCAGCGTGCAAGCGGACAAGCTGGCACTCAAGCTGAAGTCTCCTGCTGTACCCGGAAGGAAGAGGTCTGACCTACTGCTGTGGGGGGTGCAGTACAGATCTGTCACTGATGAAGAAGCTGAGCTGGGGGCTGAGCTATCCCTCATCCTGTCCTGACTCTCCGCACCCCCTCGCCCTGACACAGAGCTCGCTGGCTGCTAAGGAAGGCTCTAACCCCACTGACAGAGACCAGAAGCTTCAGGATCTCTACCAAGCATTTATAAATCTCAACTACCCACCCAGAGAAACAAAAAAGCAAATTGAAAGAGCCAGACGAATACCTAGAAACCATCTACTTCAAGACAGACCCAAGAAAACCAACAATAGAACACCACTTGTCATCACCTACAACCCCCAACTTAAACCTGTCCAACACATTATCAATAAACTACAGCCTATATTGGAACAGGATACCATACTCAAAGAGGCTCTGGGAGACAGACCCATAGTCTCCTATAGACAACCACCTAACCTCAAGATGATTCTTACCAACCACCACAGGACATACCACACTAATACCAACCCTGGTACCTTCCCTTGCAACAAACCCCGTTGCCAGCTTTGTCCACATATTCATTCTGCTGATACCATTATTGGACCTAACCAAGTGAGTTATAAGATCAAGAACACATATTCCTGCGCATCCAGAAATATAATCTACGCTATCATGTGCCGAAAGTGTCCGTCTGCTATGTACATTGGACAAACATCTCAGACACTTCGCCAAAGGATTAATGCCCACAAAACAGATATCAGACAAGATCACAAAGAGAAAACAGTTTCTTGCCACTTTAACCAGAAAGGACACTCTCTAAATGACTTAGCCACCTGCATTCTGCTACAAAGACCTTTTACATCTGCACTTGAAAGGGAATCCTCTGAACTGTCATTCATGTTAAAATTCGACACTTACCACCAGGGACTTAACAAGTCTTTGAACTTTCTCACCCATTATCAAGACAGTTTCCCCAATTATCACCTGTAATACCATTAACTCACAAACATCCCACTCTCCCTACCTCTAATATCATCAATTCACAGACACTTACCTTCCTTCCTCCCCCTTCCCACCCCCCCGCCTCCTCCTTCTGTTCTGCAATGTGATTTGTCCTTTTCATATTTGTTCTTTTTTTTAATTGTATCCTTTGGTATATATGGTTGTGACTACTTTCTTCCACTATTTGATCTGAGGAAGTGGGTCTGGCCCACGAAAGCTCATCATCTAATAAACCATCTTGTTAGTCTTTAAAGTGCTACATTGTCCTGCATTTTGCTTCAACTACCCCAGACTAACACGGCTACATTTCTATCACTATCCAACACTACAAGAACCTCTCCCCAAGTTCAGTCCCTCCCCCCCAATCAGGACACCCCCAAGGTTCTATGAACCCTTCCCCAGATGCAATTTTTAGCAATCTAGTAAACATTTGCTAAATCTGGCTGTCTGATGCTGTGACTATAACTTTCCAGCAACTGATTAACAAACAAAAAATCTCCACCAAATTCTACCTTTGCTAGTTTTTTCTCTCTCTTCCCTTCCTGTGTGTCTTGTCTTGAAGGAAACATGACTAGACTTCAACAACAAATTTAAGTGAAGATTAGCTGTCTTTCTATCTAAAGGATGTGCTATGCCTCCAATAAAAACTAGGTGTCTGAAGCAGAAATTAGTAGGTATGGTTCTTTTGCCTCTGTTTAAAATCTTTAATACCTCTTTAAAAGACTGTCAAACAATGGACTTCTCCCTTTTACACTATACAAAGAAAGAGAACAAGGGAAGTTCTTTAAACACAGATCTTAACTCATCTTTCAAATGCTTTAACTGTTTTTCCTTTTTCTGTGTGTTTCATAAGTTCTTAATGGTAGTTATTACTCACTTACTTCCATGGTAACAACTGGATACAAAACACCATTAACACAATTAAACCAATAAGGAATTTGAAGCCAGGTCAGAGAGCAACAGAAACACCACTCTCAAAACAGCAATACTTATAACCGAGGCTGTATACATTGGGAAGGTTTAGCCACATGCGAAAGTCACCAAAAGTGAAAACCAGTGAAACCAGTTTTTCTGCTTCCCATTGTCAGTGTTTCATGGCCACATCATTAGCACCCAGAAGCATCCCACAGTGCTGTGTTGTGGGAAGGCCAAGCTGATCCCTGTGCTTCTTGGGATTCCCTGGTAACTCTGGGAGCTCTCCCTGCTGAGAAATGTCAAAGCAGCATAGCTGTCTCTCCAGCCCTCCCCCAGCAGCAACAGGCTGCCTGCCACTGTGTTTTCAGTGGGGCAGAACAGAAGCATTCCAATGATTTGCTTTTCATTCCCCAAAGCTTTAAAAGGGGAGGGGCACATGCCAAAGGCAGCAGAGATCACAAAATGCTGAGCACAGCCATCAGGGCAGGCATTGTGGGATACTAGCGGAAGCCACTTCTCTGGACAAAACAAATAGCAGAATCTTTGTCTGCAATAAATGGAGGGAAAAAGACAAAAGGCTCTCACAAGGTTGGAAGTTTTTTGAGGGGAAAAATTGTGTTTTCTCACCCTCACCCCTGCTAAAAGTCGCACCGCAATGTGAATGCCCTCATTATTTTGTGGCCAAGAGGCAGGTTTTGGTGATAAAACATGCCAGTGTAGATAAGGCCTGCGAGTGGGTTTTGGTGCGAGTATACCTGGGGGGTACTGAGGCCCTGGTGAGAGGGAGAGCAATGTGTGTGCATTGGGCAAAGTGTGGCTTGGGAAAAAGAAGTGTCTTGAGTTAGGATGTAAAAGTGGAAAGTGAGGTTTCATGGGGCAGGGCAAGGAGTTGTTCCAGGCACAGAACACTCCTAGCTCTGCTAGTTCAGTAGTTTATAAACAAAATATAGCAAGACTGTGATGCAAGTCTGTCCCACAGAGCCCTCAACCTCTCCACTTCTCTCCTGCAGAGCTGTGATCCATCCCAACTGTGCAAAATGGCAGGGGGCCTGGGGGCTGAAGAATGACACTTTCCTGCATTGGGCTCAATAAAATTTGCTTCCTGCTGTCTGTGGCCTTCTGTGCTTTCCTTCTTTTGTTAATCCCCAAACTCCAGACAACCTGGAGACGGGGGGGCTATCCACAACCCCGTCCACCCCCTCCTTTGAATGCTTCCTGCAGCGAGTTCTACCACCAGCAGGCAGAGCCCAGCTCAACAGACCGTTTGGACAGTGAGGGATCTGATACTGCACACAGTGTGAAAGATGAAACTGTAGAAAAATGGGGAGATTACAGCCTACATGCTGGGGGATCCCACCCGAAACTTGAAGAGCAGGATGGGAGCCCCACCAGTCCTCTTCAAACTATGTTGAAGGACCATCATGGACCTGCAGATGAGTCCATTAAGGAGAATTTGGAGCTGAAGGATATTTTTATCGCTGTGAAAACGACAAGAAAGTATCATAAAACTAGGCTGGACTTGCTCTTCCAAACCTGGATTTCGCAGGCCAAAAGACAGGTGAGAGATCTCCCTCAGCGGGATAGGACAGTAATAGAGTGGGAGTCTCTCTCCCTCTGTGACTGTAGATTCTGGATCTGCTATAACCCCTCGCCCTTCATGTTCATACTGCAATGTCACTCTGTATTCCCCACCAGTTCATTAGACATGTTCTTCCCTCCAGGATTAGGAACTGAGGTCCTGCAAATAGACCTGGTCAAAAGGTTAGATGAGCTGCTACTGGGTGGTAGAACGTTAGTCTCAATGCACAATCTGTCTTGTAGCGGACCAAGATCTGCAACTTGTGCAGGAGTGTTCTTGGGATTTGATCTCTGATTGGATAATTATAACCTTGTGTGTGATTCTCATAAAACTTGAAAGACAGACTCTGCTGAGCTCGAAACTAGCATCCAGAGCCGAATCCACAATGGTTTAAGACAGTATCACTAAATTCACTTAAAATAAAAGGCTATAGGTCCAGAGAGAAGCTGCAGCTGGAGAAAGTGGGCCAAGTTGGTATAATAGAAGAAACCATTGCATAGTCCTCCACAATTCCTGATGCTAGCACTGATGATTCTGAGCCCGTACCATCGGCCGATATACTCTTTGGTACAGTGAGCGAGTCTTCGTATGAGATGTAGCACAGAATCTGTCCCTTAGTGGAGATGTTTCAGTGAATTTCTGGAGAGTAACAAAATCTTATCCAGGTCTTACGCATCTTCTCCTGCTGCCTGCTTAGGATACTGTTGCTACTAACTGGATCTTTTTACCTTTTACTCTCATTTTCCCCCAAGAGTTATGTTGCTTCCTCTAGGCCCATTGACTGTCTGGAGCAATATCCAGCCAAGCAGATGGTGCTGTCTTTTGGGGTGAGGTGGAAGAACAGAGGCAATGAGAGAAACAGCTTATTCCTGAACTTGGGATGCTTCTGCCCTGCCCTAGGGGTAGGGATGGTGTCCCTGGCCTCTGTTTCTCTGAAGGGGGGGTGGCAGGGGAGGGATTATGTGAGGATTATCTGTTGTGTCGACAGACATGACACTGGGCTGGCTGGACCGTTGGTCTGACCCAGTATGGCCGTTTTCATGTTCCCTGGGATAGGAGAGATGCTCCATTTTGGATTCTCTGCTGAAATGGCCAGTGAGGGAGTCAATCAATCCTGAGCGTGCTGGTGGTTTCTGTGATGTAGGAAGCCGTCCCACGGGCAGCGGACCAACACCAGTTCTTTTCACAGTGGCCGTTGACAAATAACTCGATAAATTACTAGCAATTCTATTTGGGCAGGGGGTGATTTTTGGAAAGGGAAGCTCCTTTTTTCCTAATGTCTTTGTGTCTCCCACAGACGTTCATATTCACAGACTGGGAGGACCCCGAGCTGCGCCTCCGAGCAGGTGAGCCAGGCAGTCCAAATGCCCACTTGCTTCTTTGACAGTGGATGCTGACTTGCTGTCTCCTTCCATGCTGTGCATGTGATGGTGGCAAGGAAGCTGGAAATGCTTCAGAGGGGAAATGCTGTTTCCCTCTTTCCTAATTTGAAGGAACTTCATCAGCGTCCGTCACTGGGTTCGTCTTCCCGGGCACTTTCTTCCTTTCCGTTTGCAAGTTTCAGCAGAGCTGTTTGAGGGTTAATGTGCATGACCCGCCCTGTGCACTGTCCCTATGCACAACTCTCCTGCCCTGCCAGCCAGCTCCACAGTCCCATGCTCTTCACCTTAGAATCATAGAATCATAGAATAATAGGACTGGAAGGGACCTCGAGAGGTCATCGAGTCCAGCCCCCCGCCCTCAAGGCAGGATCAAGCTCCGTCTACCTTGGGGGCAACATGCTCATGCTGCAAGTACCCCACGCCTCACACGTGCAGAAGCTGTGCACCACGTCCCTGCTTCAGATGCATGCTCAAGAGGGGCACCTGCTCATTCTTCCAGATTATGCATTCATCCAGTCTTGACCCTTTCGACCTTCATTTCTTTAGGAGATCACATGATCAACACCAACTGCTCTGCTGTTCACACCCGCCAGGCGCTCTGCTGCAAGATGTCTGTGGAATATGATAAATTCCTTGAATCTGGACGGAAGTACGTGAGACTTACTGGTCCAAGTGTCGCTCTGTTCCCCTCTTCTCAGAATGGGAGTGAAGTCCCAACCTGCTTCTTTCAAGTCCCAGAAGTGAGAGGGCATGACTCAGGCTGAGATCCCAGAGGGCAGTGGTGGTGAGCATAGAGAAGAGGGAGCATGGGGAAGAGGAGCACTGCTAGACAAGAGTCAGGTGGAAGGTGATAGCAAGAAAGTGCTCACATCATACAATATGATGGGGGCTAATTTAGCTACAACTAATCAGGAAAGAGATCTTGGAGTTATCGTGGCTAGTTCTCTGAAAACGTCCACGCAGTGTGCAGCGGCGGTCAAAAAAGCAAATAGGATGCTAGGAATTATTAAAAAAGGGTTAGAAAATAAGATGAAGAATATCTTACGGCCCTTATATAAAACTGTGGTATGCCCACATCTTGAATACTGCGTATAGATTGATCTCCTCATCTCAAAAAACATATACTGGCATTAGAAAAGGTTAAAAAAAAAAGCAACTAAAATGATTAGGGGTTTGGAACAGGTCCCATATGAGGAGAGGTTAAAGCGACTGGGACTTTTCAGTTTAGAAAAGAGACTGAGGGGGGATATGAGAGAGGTCTATAAAATCATGAGTGGTGTGGAGAGGGTGAATAAAGAAAAGTTATGTATTTATTCCCATAATATAAGAACTAGAGGACACCAAATTAAATTAATGGGTAGCAGGTTTAAAACTAATAAAAAAAGTTCTTCTTCACACAGTGCACAGTCAACCTGTGGAACTCCTTTCCAGAGGAGGCTGTGAAGGCTAGGACTATAAACAGAGTTTAAAAAAAGAGCTAGATAAATTCATGGAGGTTGGGTCCATTAAAGGCTATTAGCCAGGGAGTAAGGAATGGTGTCCCTAGCTTCTTGTTTGTCAAAGGTTGGGGAAGGGTGGCAGGAGACAAATTGCTTGATCATTGTCTTTGGTCCACCCCCCTGGAGCACCTGTCAGCAGACAGGATGCTAGGCTGGATGGACCTTTGGTCTGACCCAGTATGGACATTGTTATGTTCTTCAGTGGGCTGTCGACCTCAGCCTCTCTCCTCGCGTTGGGACGTGTAGGCAGTGTCGGCATCTAGCCTCAGCATTTTCAGTTGGAGGCCCCTCTTTTTTCCAGTTGCTTTGCCCCAAATCTGCGGGACCTCCTTGGAGAGAAGCGAGTACAAAGAAACTTTACGTGGCCTTCTCAGGGCTCGGCTGGTGACCGTCTGCCCTGCTTTGTCTGCAGATGGTTTTGCCACGTGGATGATGACAACTATGTGAATCCACAGACTCTCCTGCGCCTCTTGTCTGCCTTCTCACACAGCCAGGATGTCTATGTGGGGAGGCCAAGCCTGGACCACCCCATTGAGGCAGCTGACCATGTCCAGAGCGATGGCTCGGTAAACGCGCTCTGCAGCTGCCCCTTCTCTCCCTGCCCCCAAGCTTCTCAGAAGGGCTCAAACCACCAGACCCCATGTGCAAAACCTCAGCGTTACTTTGCATTTAGAAAGGGTCTGGTGAGCCAAGCAGGGATTCTCCCCTCGCTGGTGTCCCTGCTGCAGTCTGTGGGTGTGAGGGAAGCTCCCTCAGCTGGGGCAGTTTCTGCTGGTCGCTCCACTAGTTCAGAGAGATGCTGTTTGGAGGCTCTTTTGCTTCTTGTTAATGATGTTTGCACAGGACCCTGGGGCTAGGCACTGCACAGGCATCGGTGTAGAGCCAGCCCCCAGACAGAGGGTGAGAGAAGGGGCAGAACAAACCGTGATGGCAGCAAATGGCCTGTTAGTGCCGTGGCTCGGGAGGCAGGCATCTGGGAGATGAAAGGAGGGGGACACTTGGGACGCAGAAGAGGAAACGAGGGACAAGTGTAGCATTATAGGGTGACCATACGTCCCTTTTCAAAGTCCTGTCCCGGCCATCCTGACTCTTTCTTCCCCGAAAAAGGGGCATTTGTCCCGTTCGCTCTAACTGGCTTGATCAACTGGCAGAAGCAAACGGGACAGAGGCCCACTTTTGTCAACAACAGAAAAAAAGGGGGGTGGAGTGCTGAGAGGGGGGCCAGCAGCAGGGGGCAGGGCAGGGCAAGTGCTCTGGGTGTCCCAGTTTTCCACTTGGGAAGGACGGTCCCCCTAAGCCCGGAGCTTGTGTGAGGAAATGAAGGGGGTGGGAGAGGGCTGGAGCGGACAGCCAATCAGCATAGGCAGGGAAAGCTGTAGACCCCTGGACCGTCCCAGGATCTCCTCAGCTGCCCCGAGCTGCCTTGGGGGTGATACTACAGCTCGGTGACTTCCAGCATTGGGCGGGTATTTCCCTGGAGCCCCAGCATGCCAGTCATAAGACACAGCAGCAGCGCTGGCCAAGCCAGCGGGTACCAAGTTGTCAGGCCAGCAGCTAAATTCACTGGCAGCACAGCCAGGTGGAGGCCTGGTAGGAGAAACCCTGCCTGGTGAGTCGTAGGGCTCCTGGGGTCTCCCTGGAGAGGCTTGTCGCAGGCTGCCCATGACTCTGGAGGGCCTCCCCTCAGTTCTCGCCTGCAGCGCTGGTGTTCCCTTCCCTGGATGCTCCCTGTTTCCTGTCTGACTCCACTGGCCTGCAATGAGAGGAGTTGGTCCAACACGGCTTCCAGGAGTCCATGGGGGCAGGGGGGAGCCCAAGTCCACTACGTGCTCTGCTCATGCATCCAGAGCAGAAGCTCCTTTCCCTCCCCTGGCCAGATGGGAAATGCCCAGTAGCATTAACAAAACCCACCAGGAGCCCTGGGGTGCCTTAGAGACTAACATTTCCTTGGGCCCGAGCTTTCAGGGGCTGCGTGTCCACTCCATGCAGCGTGGTTTTACCCAGGAAAGCTGATGCCCAAATTGATTAGCCTCCAGGTGCCACAGGTCTCCTAACCTGGCTCCCCCTCCTTAACACGTGTCTCTTTGTGTCTTGTTGTGTTTGCTGCTCCCTAGACTACCGTGAAGTTCTGGTTTGCCACGGGCGGAGCAGGGTTCTGTATCAGCCGGGGCCTGGCCTTGAAGATGAGTCCCTGGGCCAGGTAAATGCACCTCACTAGCAGAGACCCCATGCCGTTGGCTTTGCCAGGCTTGAGGAGCGTTTGGTCCTCCATCTCCATCCTCTCTCTCTCTCCAGCTTGGGTAACTTCATCAGCACTGCCGAGAGGGTGCGTCTTCCCGACGACTGCACTATCGGTTACATCATCGAGGGGCTGCTGGAAGTGAAAATGCTGCACAGCTCTCTGTTCCATTCCCATCTGGAGAACCTGCAGAGATTACGAGGCGAGTTGGTACTGCAGCAGGTAAGGCTGAGCCTCAGGCCTTGCTCCGAGCAGGCCCTGGCCTGCGAGCCGCTCTCCGGCTGATCCGAAGAAATCACCGCTGCTACCTGTGTCCTTGGCTTTCAGAAAAGGCAGATGGTATCAGGCCTGTAATCCCACCATTACTCCAAGCTGCTTATGTAGGTGGCCAGGCAGACCCAGTCCACATTTGGACAACAGGCGCATTTGCATCCTGGCCAGCTGGGTCACCTTTATTTTTCCCTTTTTCTGACTCCCTTCCGGTCCCAGCCAGGCCATTATCTTGCCACCTTTGTCTTCCTTCCTACTCCCCGAGGCCCATGACCACTTGAGCAAGTGGCAGAATTTACAGTACATTTGAGACACTAGGATTTGCATCTTTGCTTGGCAAAGTGATTCAGCTTTAATTCCTACCAATAACAGGGATACTGTTGAATAGTTGATCATATATGAAGTGATACAGCCTCTCTGAAGGGAGAGACGCAAGTGTTCAGTTGCTACAGAGGTTTCATCAGTATTGGTTGTGAGCATTCAAATACATAAACTTGTTTTAAAAACAATTACTTCTACAGCATCTTTCCAACGGACAATAGGTGTCACTGAAATTCCTCCACTACTTATCTGCGTACACCCTAAGCAAGAACATAGCTGCTCTCCCACAGAATACTCATCTGAGTTGTTGTAACTGTTTTCTTGGCAATAAAAATGCACTTTCAGGGCCACATTCATGCCAGGTGTAATCACACCAGAAGTAGGCATTGGTGGATCTGGCTCTCCCTTTGCGATTGCCTTTTTGCTAACTTCAATAGCTAATCAGAAAATCTTGTTGCTGAAGATTAATGGAGATTAACCTGATCTCTTGGGCTCATGCAGAGCGCGCTTTTATTGGTAAGGCTCTGCACTCAGGCTGAGAGCTGTTCCCTGCACTGCCATTGAGCCACTGTGTAAAATGAGGCTAATGTGACGGATGTGAGGATGGATTTTGTATTATGGTGCTGGGCATTGAGACGCTACGGTGACGGTTCCCACTCGAAAGCTTACACATAGAGTTGGTAACGTAGGGGGTATCTTCTCCTCCAGCTCCTCTTGTCTCCCTGTCTGGTTTCTTCTTCCAGTTCTCCTTGGGGTAGTCAGCAGGTTCTCTCAAATGGCTTTCATCCTGTGTGAACCATTATGACTAAGCAAACTATCACCTTTTGCATGTAACTTCTGACACCCAGATCAGC